CTCCGCACTAGGCACAGGAAAGTGGCCGTCTAGGGCAGGAGAGCTGCCAGCCTGGCCACCCAGGACCAGGTGTGCATGAAAATCAAGGGGGTCCACTGAGACCCCCGACACTGAGCCCTGAGCTTACAATGGCCGTCCTGGGTCAGACCAAAGGTCCATCTAGCCCAGTAGCCTGTCTGCCGACAGTGGCCAACCCTAGGGACCCTGGAGGGGATGGACCGAAGACAATGACCAAGCCATTTGTCTCGTGCCATCCCTCTCCAGCCTTCCACAAACTTTGGGCAGGGACACCACTCCTACCCTCTGGCTAATAGGACTCCATGGACCCAACCTCCATCACTTTATCTCACTTCCCTTTAAACTCTGTTCTAGTTGTAGCCTTCACAGCCTCCTGCAGCAAGGAGTTCCGCAGGTTAACTATTTGCTTTGTCAAGAACAACAACTTTCTCTTACTAGTTTCAAGCCTGCTACCCATTCCTTTCCTTTGGTGTCCTCTAGTCCTTCTTTATGGGAACTCAGGAAGAACTTTTCTGAATGCACCCTCTCCACCCAACCCCTTCTTTTAGAGACCTCTATCCTGTCCCCCTCCGTCTCCTCTTTTCTAAGTTGAACAGTCCCAGTCTCTGTAGCCTCTCTTCATCTGGGGCCTGTTCCCAACCCCTGATCATGTTAGTTGCCCTCCCCTCTCCCAGCCTTTCTCTTCCCTTCTCCCACCTCCTTTTCCCAGTCTCCCCCAGTTTTGTTCAATAAAGACAGAGTCAATGTTGGGAGAAACGTTATCTTTATTTTGTACATCAATAAGAAGGGGGGCTAGGGAAGGGTAAGTGGAAGGAGGTGAGGGAGGAATGGGGTATGAGCCCCCGATGGGGAGGACTGGGCTGGCTCTGCGGGCTTCTGGGGGTGGAAGCTCTCCTGCAGCCCCCCAATTACTCCCTCTCCCCAGATGGCAGCCTGCGGCAAGTGCAGCCGGGCTGATGGCCGAGTGGTGTGATGTGCCCAGTGTGGGCACTCAGGGCACTCCAAGCCAGAACTTCTTGAGGGAGGAATGGGGTATGAGCCCCCGATGGGGAGGACTGGGCTGGCTCTGCGGGCTTCTGGGGGTGGAAGCTCTCCTGCAGCCCCCCAATTACTCCCTCTCCCCAGATGGCAGCCTGCGGCAAGTGCAGCCGGGCTGATGGCCGAGTGGTGTGATGTGCCCAGTGTGGGCACTCAGGGCACTCCAAGCCAGAACTTCTTTGCAAGCGGGGCACCCCTGAGAACTGTGTGTCCGGGGTGGGGGTCGGGACCCTTTAAGCGCAGCCCTCGGCTAGCCTGAGACAGCATCTCCATGCTCTAAGTCCTCCTTTTATGCCCTGCCAGCACTGCTTCCGGCCATCCTTAAGCCCTGTTCAGAGTCCACTCAATGTGGACTTACTAGTTCGAACTAGCAAAACGCTAGTTCGAACTAGTTTTTAGTTCTAGATGCGTTAGTTCAAACTAACTTAGTTCGAATTAACTAATTCGAACTAAGTTAGTTCGAACTAACTTTGTAGTGTAGACATACCCTTGGAGAGTAGTAGCTGGTAGTTTGCTGGGCATCACCATAGTCACAGACAATGGGCATGGAGGGGCCATTGTTGGTCAGGCAGTTGCCGGCACCGTATTTCACTGGGTATTTCTGAAAGACAAGTGCAGCGAGCAGCCAAGGTTAGTTTCTGTCTCTATGGCAGGGAAGCTCAAGCGCAGACAGGGCAGCGTTGATTAAGATCTCCTTACTGGGTGATTTATACAGTCAATGCCACTTCCGGTGCCAGCCACATACCAGTAAGTGTGACCCTAGTGGTGGGCAGAGGAATCTGGCTTGTCAAGATGCCATGTGGGCTGGATTCTTCCGAGACTGGGGCAGGGACTGTTGTTCTCTTCTAGGACCGTGCAGCACCTAGCGCCGTGGTTCTGTGTGGGGCCAGCACGTGTCTGGCAATGTTTCTCCCCGGCCCTCATCCTGAGATGATCTTGTCAGGATGCCTAATGCCCGAAGCCGGGGCTCACAGGTGGCTCAAGGGCTTGGCTTAACTCCAAAGCATCTCTGTCCAGCAGCCTTCCATCTCCAGGGCCGGGGATAGAGTCGGTCTCCATGGGCCGTTCAGCCTCTCTGCTGAGTCTGCCAGCACATCAGTGCCATGGGGGTGGCTGGGTTGGGATTTGCACACCAGCAATTGGGTGAGACCAGCCAGATCATCTCACAGCGAGGTCATGGTACGATTCCAATGGGCTGCATGCAGGGGAAGGCTCCATGTCCCATTATCAGCCCCTGAGCCCCCGGCCTGGAGCATCTGTAACATGTTGAGGATTTATCTGTCCCAGCTTCTGCATGTACACGGGGGCCAGCAGAGCCACCCAGTCCCTCCTCCACACGCCCCTCCACAGCCCCCAGCTCAGCACCCTCACCTGAAGAGGTTCCCCCCCCTCGGATGACAGGATGGACCTGGTCTTCCATTCTGCCAGGGGCACCTTGTTGGTTACGTGCCACACGGACAGGTCCTGGGCTTGCAGGTCATAATAACCAGGGTTCTGAAAAGCAAAGACCCTGCTGAAACCTCAGCCACAGCCCGGCAACTTACCCAGCCACCTCCCACATCCTCCACACATCTGGGCACCTCACCAGCTGTGGTGTATTTATCCCGTCACCTACCCTGCAAGGCAGAGAAGCAGCATCCCCATTGTATGGCGGGAGGGGAGGTAAAGTGATGGACAGAGTTGGGGAGTTGCCCTCGATCACACATGGGGCCTGTGGCAAGGCGGGGAATAGAATCCAGGACAGCCAATCCCTACGCTAGCGCCTTCACCCCTGGGCCCTCCCTCCCATCCAACCCCCATTCCTATGTCCCCCACCGGCCCACGTGCATTCAACCACATTCTGAGGTACCCTCTCCCCAGCCATGGCCATGGGGGAGGGGCCCACCTTGTAGTCGTCGCTGGTGGCGCCCACCGCGGAGCCGAAGGTGTTGTAATTGGCCCAGTTGCCCTCTCCCTTGGGGTAGTTGGCGTTGCTCCCCTGCTGGCTGGACCAGCGGTCGCCCTCCGTGCACTTCCCGTAGATGTTGTTCTCGTGCATGCTGGCCACCAGGGAGCTCCAGGAAGGTGTCCCTCCTCATCCTGAAGTTCTGGGTCCACTGTCGGTCTTCCCAGCGCTCCAGGACGATGTGGTCCCACCAGTCGCTGCTGGTGTCCAGACGCCAGATGCGGCGGGGCACGCCTGTGCTGGGGCGCCGCCGCGGCTCCTTCACGGCCCCCAGGGCAGCCAAACGGAGAGGCAGGGGGCGGGCCCGCACCCAGGGGGGCCCAGGCGACACCAGGCA